TTACAGGAGGAGAGTGGAGGAAGGGTCAGAGATGGGTCTGACCCCCAGGTCAAGAGTCACCCTGGCTCTGGCTCCTCCAGACCTTTATTTACATGTCGACAAAAACCATGAAGCACCAGCCCAGCCCACCCACCAGCAGCATGGTGACATGAATGGCATAGATGAGCAGCTCGTTGACCAGGCTAAAGTCCAGCCGCCTCCTTCCCAACAGCAGCAGGGTGATAGAGAGTTTGTATTGGAAGCGGAGGAAGAACCGGATGCTGAGATACTGAATGCAAAACAAGGCCGCCAGCGCCACCCAGAGGACGGAAGTGAAAAGGCTGCAGCTGAAGTACAGCAGGAAACGGATCACCCCGTACATCCAGCGCGACTTCAGGTAGATATCAAAGTTGTTGTACTTGGTGCGCACCAGGGGGGCGGTCCGGACTGGCCCGCAGGCCGAGTGCAGGCAAGTCGTGTGGGGCCCGTGGAAAGACCGAACCCGCCGTGGGATAGGAATGACAGGCATCGGGCAACCTGGGTTTTTACAGGACTGGAGAGCCAGGCTGGCAGGGGGCGGCCCCGGCCGCTTCCGTGAAGATGGGAGGGGAGGCCAGCGAGCCAGGAGGGTGAACACGGCCTGGACGTGCCGAGACGGAAGCTGCCTGCAGGAAGGAAGAGAAGGAGAGCGAGGTTGAGGAAAAGGGAGAGGAGGACAGCCGGCCCCGAGCTGAAGACGCGAGCCCGATAACTCTTCGCAGGGCTGCCAGGCACCAGATCCACCAAGAAACCAACCTGGATTAATCCCTTTAGTGGGATTCGGAAGGTCACAACGGCTGCAGATGTGCCACTGTCGCCACGGATGCATTGGCCCAAAAGTCTAGAGCAAACTTGGCAACTTTTAAAGACTTGTGGACTTCGACTCCCAGAACCCTCCTCAGCCAGCCACGCTTAAAGTTGTCGAGGCCACGGGTCAAGAGCCAAGGGCCACAGGAACTGGCTGGAGGGAAATCAGTTAAGACCAGAGGATACAGAATTCTTTAAAGTCGGGGAAAGAAAGGTGGAAGCACAATTAAGGTTCTCGTTCAGCTTCTCAGACTAAGTCACCACTGGGGTGGGGAGTTCCAAAGGACTGGCAAAGGGTTGGGAAAAGAAGATAATCAGAACGTGGATGGAACTGTGTCATCTTCTAGGCAACTGGATGCAAAAAAAAAAAAAAAAAGACGTGTGCGATTTAATCGGAAGGAAGAGATGGGAGTGAAAGTGGAGGGGAGGGTGGCCTGCCTCCTCTCAGCCCTGCGAGGTAGTCCAGGCATGAAACTCACCAACTACTAAAGTGCTAAAACACTTAAACCTTCACTTCAAAGTAACCATAACAGAATCTCGTCTTGCAAGCGTGTCAGGTCTTTTCCTCTCCAACCCCATTTTGCTTCCCCAAAAACTAGAGAGGGTCTCTCTTTGGAGACGCTTCCTCCCCTCCTGTTCCTCTGGTGGGCTATAAGGCCCTTCTGCGTGGTACTTTTCCCCCCCCCCTCCTGTCTCCCGAGGCCATTTCAGCCCTTCAGGGGGTATTTCCACAAAGAGTTCCACAAAGAGCCTTTGGAGAGCAGCCGGGTCCCCTTCGTGTGGCTCAGATACACTCACATCACTTGCGAACTTAAATCCTGATTTTATGATTTTAAGAATCCACCCTGGGCAGCCAATAGCCATAGCACTGGAACTCCTTCCTCCTCCTCCTCCTCCTCTTTCCCCCACCTTGCAAACCCGAGGGAAGGGCCGAAAAAAGTCTCCCAACTAAGGCGGGACTGGAACTCGGTGCCACCCCGGTCTCCAGCCTGGAGCCTCTGAACCCAAAGGATGAATGACTCTTCTCCCCCCCACATTATTATTTTTTAGGATCCTCGCTCGCTGACAGGGACGGGCAAGCAGAGCCCGGCTGCAAAGAGGGGGAGGATTCGCACCCAGGTCTCCGGCCGGGAGGTTTGACCCGTCCAGGCCCTCCCCTCCACCCCAACCCTCAGGAGAGGGCCGAGACACCACCCCCCTCCCAATCCCCGGAGGAAGCCCCAATTTCGGCCGCTGCTGATCTCGGGCCAGGTTTGGACCCGGTCAGGTTCTCCCGCTCCGCTTCCCGGACTCGGGTTCAGCCCGGGGTGGGGGGAGGAGGAGGAGGAGGCCCCGGGTCGCACCGCCTGCGGGGCCAAAGGCCTCGGGGCCGTTCCTGGGAGGGAGGGAGGGAGGAAGAGGGCGGCTTCCCCCAAAGGAGACCGAAGCGCCTGCGGCGGGGGAGGCTGGGACCTGCAGTCCCGCCAGGGCGGTGGGGGGGGGGGGGGGGGGGGGGGGCGAGACCCCCCGGCCGGGCCCGGCCTACCTCGCGGGGTTGTCGGGCGGGCCGGCGCTGGGGAAGGGGGGCGTCTGCGGAGGACTCACCGGGCGTCTGCGGGCCATGGCGGCGGCGGTGGCGCGGCGACTCCCCTTCCTTCGGGCCGGTGGCGGAAGGGCCCGCGCGCGCGGCGATGGCGTCATCAGCAGGCGCCGTTTCTCCCGGGGGGGGGGGGGGGCGCGGGGAGAGAGCGCGCGCGCGCGCCGGGAAGCCGTCGCCTAGCAACGGGGCCGCAGGTGCGGGCGGGGCTGTTTGCTCTCTTTGGAATCCAGTTCCCATCCGCGCTGATCGGGGAGGATTCCCCCTCCCATCATCCACTAGCACTGCCCCTCCCGACTGGGGAGCATGGGAGAGGGAGTCCAGTAATGTCTAGCCCTGGGTGGGTTCCCCCTGCCCATCCTCCACCAGCATGGGCCCTGCTGATCGGGGATGATGGGAATGGGAGTGTGGCACGCCGGAAGGCAACATGGGACCCATCATCCTTAGCCTGATTTTCTGCAGAAGTGCTGGACTCCCCCTCCCATTATCCTGCAGCTAGGAGTCCAGTGAGAACTGCAGTCCAAGACATCCAGCAAAAGAATGCAGTGTGGCTGCCTTCGTCCCACATCAGGCTCTGGCCAAGCACAATGCCAAAAATGGGGGGGATTAAGGATAAAATGAACAAAGATCAAACACCACCTTGGCACCTTTCATCATCCTTGAGTTATAAATTCAGCTGCAGGGAAAATGAGATGCATTAAGTCCTTTGTCCCAGCATGATAGTAACTCCCCTAATGATGCAGCTCTTCTTCCTGTTGGTTGAACGAGGTTTTGTTGATGGGGGTTTTACTGGAAATCAGCAGAGAATATTGTGCCTTAGACGGTCTGTGTGCATTTATTGGACACTTCCAGCCCTGTAAAAGACTTCTCCTTCTTCCAAAACTTTAAATAAAATGCATGCATTGCCAAAGATTTGTACTGCGAGCCAAAGAGCAACAAATATTACTTTCAACATATTTGTCAGTTTGGCAAAAGAACAAGAATGGGAAGGAGGGAACCGCCAGAATAACCTGTGACAGATCCTGAGCTTGAAATAAATTATAGATACATGTATCTTAAAAGAGTTTATTTGGGTCATGAATAGGTGATTTGGGGGGGCGGGGGCTCCTCCTGTGTAGAAAGTTAAATTATGCAAAATAAAAAACCCGGCTTATAATACTTCATCAAACATGCATAAAAGTGTCAGGTTCCCATAAATTCTCTCAATTAAATCGCTTCAGATCCTGATTGCATTTACTAATTTAATCAAGAGTAGAATAACTCAGATTCCCAGGAGTGATGAATTACAATGGCATTTTTGTCCTGAGAGGAGAGGATGATGGGAAAACAGACAGGACAAAAACTTCCTTTTAGGCACAGAATCTGCTGGGTTTTTTTTTTTTTTAATTCTCAGTTGGGAATAAAGAATTCGCTTTCAGATCTATTCAACTTTGGGGAAATGGTCACAGACAGAGTCTGGTGCCCTGGCTCTCAGTCCAGGCGGAAGGCTTTAATGTCCTCCATTCTCTGCACAGGAAGGAAAGCAGAATAATAGTCGTAAGGGACCTTGAAGGTCTTCTAGCCCAACCCTTTGCTTGAGCAGGAACTCCTGTTCCATTTCAGACAAATGGCGGTCCAATCTCTTCTTGAAAAGCTCCAGTGATGCAGGCAAGATGTTCCGCTGGTTAATTGTTCTCAAGTTCTTCTTTTTTTTTTTAAAGGAAGCATTGACTATCTGAGACAGTTGAGAAGTCCAGCCTCTGCTGTCTTTTCATCGCCCGCCATCACAGCTGCGATGAAGCTTCCTGGATAAGAAGCGAAACATTTTTCGTCTTCCTCCTCCCAACTGTCTTTTGAAAAAGAGATCAAAAACCAGACGTTCTTGACTAAAGGTCTTCCTAACATTTCACCACGAGAGGGAGCGCTTGGCAAAATTATGGCCCAAACCAGCCATTTCTAATAGGAGGAAGAGAAAGAGAGGAGAGAAAGGACATTACTACCCACTTCGTCCCCAACCATAGATGCCCTCCAGAGGCCTTGGGTTAGATCTCCCAGAATTGGCACTTCATCTCTGGGAAGCCCCCCCCCCCCCCCCCAGGGAACCAGCTAAGAACTGAGGAGAATTTTGCCTGGCAATGAGAACAATTAATCAGTGGAACAATTTGTCTCCAGAAGTTGTGGGTGCTCCATCACTGGAGGCTTTCAAGAGGAGACTGGACAAGAAGTGAGGTCTTCACTCAGGTCTGCGCTTACACCTTAAAAGAGATAGGCATCGCTATAAACCACAGTATTCTGCCATGTGAAGTCTTCACTCAGGTCCATCTCTCTCTCTCTCTCTCTCTCTCTCTCTCTCTCTCACACACACACACACACACACACACACACACACACACACACCAAAAAAAACCACAACAACCCCAGCATGAAGTTTTCACTCAGGTCCTCATTTACAGCTCAAATAGATAGGCATAGATATAAGCCACAGGCCTGTGCATGGTGAAGTCTTCACTCAGGTCCAGCTCTCTCTGCTACCTCCCTCCCTCCACAGGACAAGCATTCCTAGGGGCCAACTCTGCTGATGACCAACCTTTTACCAAGGCATCTGCTATGGTTTTGCTGTGGCAAACTTGTAGTATTCAGAGTCATGAGAGAGAGAGAGAGAGAGAGAGAGAGAGAGAGGGTGGCAGCAGCGAGAAAGCTGGACCTGACTGAAGACTTCACTCTGCTTAGAGCCCATATGAGAGGTCTGGATTGGAGGACTTTGAGGATGAGAGCCTAGCACGATTTCTTTCTGGGGTGTATTGAATTTGGAGTGGGGATGTTGAGCTAGTAAGCAAAGTGGACAAAACAAATTCAGTTTTAACTCCGGTGGGGGGGGGGGGAAATGGGAAGAGTTTTCACTCTTGACAATGTGGGGAGAAAAAGCAGAGGATGGCCGAAGGGCATTCGTCAAGCAAGAGTTTGACAGAATGGACCTACTTGGCAAGCCAATTGTGCATATAAAATACGGGTGGCTTTTCAAATAAAAATAAAATACCAATAAAGGGGAATATTTGTAGCTCTTCTCAGCCTGGGTGTGCAAAGATGCTGGCCGTGTACACAACTGCCTCCCCGCAAGGCTTGGCTGGCCCGTCCCACCATCTCATTCCAGAGCCAGGATCCTCACTTAATAGAATCCGAGCACAGCATTAAATCAATTACGCGGCCTAATAAAGCACCCAGGGTATTTTGTGTTTAATTAAAGCTTTTAATTAAAGCGGCAATGATTGCGCTTTTGTCATCTCTGGCAACCAAAACTCTCCTTCTGGGACTTGGGAATCGTTTGGCTCTTGAGGTGGTGGTGAGCGAAACTCGTGGAAATACAGAGTGGAAAAAAACGAGAGGGTTTTGTTTAGTCGAGAAGACAGGTGTGGCTTCCTCACACCTGAGCCTGAACAAACACACAATGGGGGGGGGGGGGGGGTGAATTTGGGAAAGGTCTTCTCTCACCCCATTCTCCCTGATTATTTAGTTCAGGCTTATCCCCCTTGAGATTTGGCTTTGTG